TAATGTATCTGTAGGTTGTACAAGAGCGAGATGACACTCAGAGGCAACTTTCTCGAGAACAGAATGCCAGAATATTACAAGATGGGATTCTGACAAATCACTTTTGCAAACAAAAGGAGATAGAAATGGCTCAAAAGAAAATGAATTCTGAGGTATTTTCTTAGTCATTTTCAAGTATGTGTGTCTCTATATTTGTATGTGTATATATGTAAAAACCCAACTATATGCATGTAGAGGATTTTTAAACTGTGTATGTATATATCTATATATATTTTGGGGTTGGTGGTGGAGGTGGCATTTTTGGCCCATTGGATACATAATGTTCTTAATTCAGCTCCATTTGTCTGTACAGTCAGGTAGTGACATTCACAGAGTCCTCATTCAAGGGAAAAGTTTTTAGTATTTTCCGTGGGAATTGATGATCTTTCCATAATCTCAAAGCCTTTGCTACTAATAATAAATGTTCTAGTTTTTGGAAGTAATTTGATCCTCTGGATATATTAATGGAGAGATTGATTTATTACTCCCACCAACAGGTAAGGAGGAAAAGTATAGCCAACTCAGAGACCATATTTTCAATTTCATTTTCCTCTCTTTTGAGAAGAGTTAACAGTTTGCTCCAAGTAATATCTTGTTTCAGTACAAAGAGCTTTTGAAAACAATGATATGCCATAAATATACATAGTGATAATTTATTGATAAGTATTTTATTCCTAGTAAAATAGTTCAGTGTATTTTCCCCTATTTCACATTTATTACTGTTTTAAACATTATGAAAAAGAAATAAAAGTTATTATAATAACAAATATCTCATGATTTTCTAAGAAGAACTCTATAAATTTTATCTTATTTACCATTAGTGTTTTGAAATAAAAGCCTTCTTTTGTATTTATGTATTTACACCGGAGAAGTAACTGTGATTTGGTGGAGGAGCACTAGAAATAGAGTCAGAAGACTTGGGGAAAATCCTGCAGATTGCTTATATTTTTAACCTCTCTTTTTCAGAATGAGTTCATTGATGTATGTAGAAGTGCTTAGTACATTGTCAGATTTGTCAATAAATATAATTCTTACAACTGACTATGAAAATGTTAGAAAAGTAGAATATAGAATATTCTCAGGAAAAAGGAACTTAGAACTTTGGGAAATTTCATCTGTCCAAATATTAATATATGCAGAGCTAGGGTCTTACTGTGGGGTAGTGTATAAGTTAGATATCAGACTATAAACTCAGTTTTTTAATGTAGTCAAATTTATTAATCTTTTATTTTATACCTTTGGTTTTGTTGTAATTCAGCGAAAGACATTTCCAATTCTGAGGTTCTTAAAATTCTGTAGTGGTTTATTTATTACATTCACCGATGCATTGTCTTCAAATAAATTTTTGAACTCTTGGGAATTTATGTTCTGTGAAGTTTGAGATTTTGATCCAACAATTTTTCCATTTGGATATCCACTTATTACAACCCTTTTATTATATAAATGTACAGGTTATTCTTTAATTTCAGAGGAAATTGTGATACGTTGCTTTACTTGAATGCTAGCTAGAAGTTTCCTTTGTTTTACTTAGGTTTCTCATAGTCATGAAAACGAAGAAGACCTGTTGCATAAAAATCACATGTTGCAGGATGAAATTGCCATGCTAAGACTGGAAATAGACACGATAAAAATTCAGAACCAGGAAAA